CCGAAAGAGCCGGCTCTTTTTGGTGAGCTGAGCCAAAAGAACCGGCTCTCTAAAAAGAGCCGGAATTCCCATCACTAGTAGCCAGACAGTGACGATATTTAAACACAGAGTTGGAAAAAGTTTTAGCCAGAGTTAAATATTTAAAACATGACGTCTCATGAATAAATTAAGTCCTCCAGTATCTTCTTTCTTTTACTTAGCAGATGCTCAGCTGAAGGACTCATTTGTATTGTGAGGATTTACACACGTTTTCCTCCCACACACGTAAACGAGGGATCTGAACGTCTGTCTGAGCAACTGATGTGCAAAGGTTTGCTCAGACAGAGGTTACGGAGCTTTGATTGGTCCCAAAAACAACTCACAATCATCAAAATCTTCCAGACATCATAATTATAAACATGGAGTCTGACCACTCATGCAGTCCATCACAACGACATACATTTAGTGTTATTTATCTTTTGTGTTCCACCAAGATCGTCTCGTCTCGTCTCGTCTTCCTCCGCTTATCCGGGTCCGGGTCGCGGGGGCAGCATCCCAACTAGGGAGCTCCAGGCCGTCCTCTCCCCGGCCTTGTCCACCAGCTCCTCCGGCAGGACCCCAAGGCGTTCCCGGACCAGATTGGAGATGTAACCTCTCCAACGTGTCCTGGGTCGACCCGGGGGCCTTCTGCCGGCAGGACATGCCCGAAACACCTCCCCGGGGAGGCGTCCAGGAGGCATCCTGACTAGATGCCCAAACCACCTCAACTGGCTCCTTTCGATCCGGAGGAGCAGCGGTTCTACTCCGAGTCCCTCCCGAATGTCCGAGCTCCTCACCCTATCTCTAAGGCTGAGCCCGGCCACCCTACGGAGGAAACTCATTTTGGCCGCTTGTATCCGCGATCTCGTTCTTTCGGTCATTACCCAAAGCTCATGACCATAGGTGAGGATTGGGACGTAGATCGACCGGTAAATCGAGAGCCTGGCTTTCTGGCTCAGCTCCCTCTTCCCCACGACAGATCGGCTCAGCGTCCGCATCACTGCAGACGCCGAACCAATCCGCCTGTCGATCTCCCGATCCCTCCTACCCTCACTCGTGAACAAGACCCCGAGATACTTAAACTCCTCCACTTGAGGTAGGACCTCTCCCCCGACCCGGAGGTGGCAAGCCACCCTTTTCCGGTCGAGAACCATGGTCTCAGATTTGGAGGTGCTGATCCTCATCCCAGCCGCTTCACATTCGGCCGCGAACCTACCCAGCAAGAGCTGAAGGTCAGAGCTGGATGAAGCTAGGAGGACCACATCATCCGCAAAAAGCAGAGACGAGATTCTCCTGCCACCAAACTCGACACACTCCACACCACGGCTGCGTCTAGAAATTCTGTCCATAAAAGTGATGAACAGAACCGGTGACAAAGGGCAGCCCTGGCGGAGTCCAACCCTCACTGGGAACAGGTCCGACTTACTACCGGCTATGCGGACCAAACTCACGCTCCTCTGGTAAAGGGACTGAATGGCCCTTAACAGAAAGCCACCCATCCCATACTCCTGGAGCGTCCCCCACAGGGTGCCCCTGGGGACACGGTCATAAGCCTTCTCCAAATCCACAAAGCACATGTGGATTGGTCGAGCAAACTCCCATGCCCCCTCCATCACCCTTGCAAGGGTATAGAGCTGGTCCACAGTTCCACGGCCAGGACGAAAACCACATTGCTCCTCCTCTATCTGAGATTCAACTATCGATCGGACCCTCCTCTCCAGTACCTTGGAGTAGACCTTTCCAGGGAGGCTGAGGAGTGTGATCCCCCTATAGTTGGAACACACCCTCAGGTCACCCTTCTTAAAGATGGGGACCACCACCCCGGTCTGCCACTCCACAGGAACTGCCCCCGATGACCACGCAATGTTGTAGAGACGTGTCAACCATGACAGCCCTACAACATCCATAGCCTTGAGATACCCAGGACGAACCTCATCCGCCCCCGGGGCTCCGCCCCTGTGTAGTTGTTTGACTACCTCAGCAACTTCTGCCCCCGAGATCGGACAGTCCATCCCCAGGCCTCCCAGCTCTGGTTCCTCCTCGGAATGCGCATTGGTGGGATTGAGGAGCTCCTCAAAGTATTCCTTCCACCGTCCGACTATAGCCTCAGTTGACGTCAGCAGCTCCCCATCCCCACTGAAAACAGTGTGAGCGAGTTGCTGCCTTCCTCTCCTGAGGCGCCGGACAGTTTGCCAGAACCTCTTTGGAGCCGATCGATAGTCTTTCTCCATGGCCTCACCAAACTCCTCCCACGCCCGAGATTTTGCCTCGGCAACTGCCACTGCTGCACCCCGCTTGGCTATCCGGTACCTGTCTGCTGCCTCCGGAGACCCACTGACCAGCCACGCCCTGTAGGAATCCTTCTTCAGCTTGACGGCTCCCCGAACCTCTGGTGTCCACCAGCGGGTACGGGGGTTGCCACCACGACTGGCACCGGCCACCTTATGACCACAGCTAGCAACAGCCGCCTCGACAATCGCAGAGTGGAACAAGGCCCACTCGGACTCAATGTCCCCCACTGCTCTCGGGACGTGGTCAAAGCTCTGCCGGAGGTGGGAATAGAAGACCGTCTTGACAGGTTCTTCTGCCAGGCGTTCCCAGCAGACCCTCACTATGCGTTTGGGTCTGCCAGGTCTACGCGGCATGTTCCCTTGCCATCTGATCCAACTCACCACCAGGTGGTGATCAGTTGACAGCTCCGCCCCTCTCTTCACTCAGGTGTCCAAAACATACGGCCGCAGGTCAGATGATACGACTACAAAATCTATCATCGACCTGTGACCTACGCTGCCCTGGTACCAAGTGTACCGGTGGGCATCCTTATGTTCGAACATGGTGTTCGTTATGGCCAAACTGCGGCTTGCACAGAAGTCCAATAACAAAACACCACTCGAGTTCAGATTAGGTGGGCCGTTCCTCCCAATCACACCCCTCCAGGTCAAGCTGTCATTGCCCACGTGAGCATTGAAGTCCCCCAGCAGGACAATGGAGTCCCCTGATGGAGCACTATCTAGCACTCGTCCCAGGGACTCCAAAAAGGGTGGGTACTCTGAACTGATATTTGGCCCATAAGCACAAACAACAGTCAGGACCCGTTCCCCGACCCGAAGGCGCAAGGAAGCTACCCTCTTGTCCCCCGGGGTAAACCCCAACACACAGGCAGAGAGTCTCGGGGCTAACAAAAAGCCAACCCCAGCCCTCCGCCTCTTACCCGGAGCAACTCCAGCAAAGTAGAGTGTCCAACCCCTCTCCAGGTCTCGGGTTCCAGAGCCAATGCAATGTGTCGAAGTGAGTCCGACTATATCTAGCCGGTACCTCTCAACCTCTGCCACAAGCTCCGGCTCCTTCCCCGCCAGCGAGGTGACGTTCCATGTCCCAAAAACTAGTTTTCTTGTCCGGGGATTGGACCGCCAAGGCTCCCGCCTTGGTCTGCCACCCGATTCACATTGCACCGGACCCTTCATGTTCCTCCTGCGGGTGGTGGGTCCACAGTTAGACGAGCCCATGTATCCGGTTCGGGCTGGGCCCGGCTGGGCCCGGCCGGGCCCCATGGGCGAAAACCCGGCCACCAGGCGCTCGCTCACGGGCCCCAACCCCAGGCCTGGCTCCAGGGTGGGACCCCGGTAACCCTCCGGGCCGGGTACTCCGACTCTTCGTTTTAACCGCCATGAAAGATCCTTCGAACCGTTCTTTGTCTCACCCTTCACCTAAGACCAATTTGTCATGGGAGACCCTACCAGGGGCACTAAGTGCCCCAGACAACATAGCTCCTAGGATCATTAGGGCACTCAAACTCCTCCACCACGATAAGGTGACGGTTCAAGATGTTAACATTTATTTCTAAAACAGGGGTACCCACTCCTGGTCCTAAAGGGCAGATATCTACCGTGTTTTAGTTGTTTTCCTGATACGACACACCTGATTTAAATCAGGAGATGGTTAAAAGACGTGCAGAGTAGCTGAACAGGTGCTTAAACCACTGACTGACCCCCCCCCCCACACACACACACACACACACACACTCTCTCTCTCTCTCTCTCTCTCTCTCTCTCTCTCTTCAAGTGCAGCTTGTCTTCATTATTTAAAGATAAAACATCAAAGACGTTTAGACGTAAGAACTGAAGAAGTGGTTCACATGTTTGACAACAAAGAGCAAAAGAAGATACGAGCAGAATTCGAGAGTCTGTAAAAAACATTCTTTTATCTTCAAAGTGAAACCAAATAATAGTTAACATTAGTAACTTTCAACCTGACAAACTGTTCCGTTTGCTTCTCCTCTGTAGCTCCTCCTACATGTGAGGTCCTTCAGGGCTCCATTCTGGGCCCACTGATCTTCAGTCTGGAAAAGTTGCCTTTGCGGTCCACTTTCAGAAAACATAATCCCTTAATCCCATTTACTGCTTTACTGATGATATTCTGGTTTATCTATCTAATGATTTAGATTATAGTTATCCTTCTTCTACATGGTTAGAGTAAGGTTTCTGACTCTCAGTAAAAAATAAATGAAACATTTAGTGATCTAAATGTTTTAAGAACAGTTTTGGCCCCACATCGCTGAGCTGGTAAGACTTTGGGTTTTTGTTGTGATAGCTCAAATTATTACAGATAATTATTACACAGTGTAGTCATGTCTGATCACAAAGGACCTGAAAAAAGCAGTCATGCTTTTACTTTGTGTCATGCTCTCTATGTTGATTTAAATAAGTCATCTCTGCATGTTTTAGACTCTATCCAGGGCGCAGCTGCACTATTTTTTGGGAGGACAGATTTTAGGATGCTTGGTTGTATTGAAATGCTTCTTTTATATATCTTGTTTACATCCATACATGTAGATGTTGTGTGGGATAGTTTTCTTTCGCATTTACACTCTTGATGTTTTTATGTTGTGTATTAATATCTTCATGGCTTTGTGCAACTGTATTTTAATATTTAATGTGACTAACCTATAATGCACCTACACGCCACTCTGATCTGTTCCTCAGGAGTGACGACCGTCTTGACGATGACCACCCTTATGATGGGTGCTCGGACATCCCTCCCCAATGCCAACTGCTTTATAAAGGCCATAGATGTTTACCTGGGCATCTGCTTCACCTTCATATTTGGGGCACTGCTGGAGTACGCCTGCGCTCACTTTTACACCATGCAGCACCAAACCCTAGAGGATTTACACAGGGTAAAACGCGCTTGCTAAGAAGATTCAGTTTCCATGTAAGACAGCACTGATGAATTATGAATCAACATTTTGTGTCCCAGGAGCTTCTGAGGGAGCTGTGTGACTCGAATGGAAACGGCTCCATCCCGATCGTCAGCTCTAGCCAACCAAGCCAGCCGGTGGAGGCCGGCTCCACGGCGGAGGAGCCTGTGAACAGTGACATTAAGGACCACGCTGCATCAAAGGAGAAAGTGCCGAGTCAGGGCTGTGGTTTATCATCTGTGAAAGATGCTTCCCGCAGAGCAGCATCTGTCTTCATTGTGGAAAATCCACACAACATCGACCGCCACGCCCGCACTCTCTTCCCCACAGCTTTTCTCTGTGTCAACATCCTCTACTGGCTTTATTACCTTTTTCTCTGAGCTCTCTGAATCCAGGCTGTGGGATCGTGTGTAATAGTTCATTCCATTACTCCTGAAGCTTTTCTACCTCCTCATTTTAGCTTCAATGCCAGTCGACACTGGCTGGATCTGACCCTTCTTTTTGTAAAAACACAGAGCTTAGGGCTACAAATCGATGGGAAAAAGTTCACCAGGACGGTTTTCCCAATAAAAAGTGTTATTGATCATGAATGAATAGAAGGCTGATAACATATTAGCATGTGGTCATGAAGCTTTTAATAGCTACCAAGCATTAAACCCACTGAAAAGAGTTCTTGATAGGCTGCCTGATCACAACCTATGTGCTGCATTGAAATGCCTTTATTAAGTGACTCATATAGATGTGCTTTTTTCTTGCTGACTGTGAAATACTGTTTGTATGAGATAATGTGCAATTAAATTACTATAGAATCAGACAAGAACGTGTTTGCGTGCCTTTAAATGACTCAAAACGGTTGTTTTAGACAAGAAGATTCAAATTTATTAGTTCCTCATCCAGGTAAAGTGCAAAGGTAGACCAAAGGTTCAGCAGAGAAGGCTTTAAAATAACAAATGAAGATTTTCTTTACTGGAAAGTATTGATTAGTAACGTTTAACAGCACCACTATGTTAGTAATTGAGCTATCAACAACAAGAGGATTCAATACTGTTTGAATTTCTGTCAAAGGGAGTAAATATAAGATCATGTTGGAATGAAATAATGTTCACAGGTAAAAGGACAGCTCCAACCTGAGGCGAGACGCGTAAACGTTCAGTAATTAAAGATGAGGATGCGTCCTACGAGTGATCTGAACGTCTGTCTGAGCAACTGATGTGCAAAGGTTTGCTCAGACAGAGGTTACGGAGCTTTGATTGGTCCCAAAAACAAGCATCAAGAGAAAAACAAACAAGATTGTAGAAAAGATGCTCTGATGTTCCCAGAATCTGGAAAATTCTCCTACATGTAGACCCAGGAATATCATTCGGACCCTAAAACGTGTTACTGGTTTAGGTCATTGTGCTATTTAAAAATCCCCTACATTAGCTAGGGAGCAACCTTCTGAGTAGGTCCACTTTAGTTTCTTCTGAGAAGCGCTGCTAGTCTCTGACTGAGGTGGATGGTTTGCAGAAAACCGAAAAAAATATTTTCAAGTTTCCAAAATGTCTCCAAACATTTGAAAGGTTTTTAATTTCCTTGCAAAACCATCAGGTGCTAAGTGTTATGTGATCACGCAATTTCCCTCCTAAGATCGTCATTACAGGTGTTCAGAACCAATCTGGGACTCAATTTAGTCTCAGTTTAGCTAGAGAAATCAAGCTGGGATTGATCAAAGACAACAGCTCCACAAATGGATGAAAAAATCCTCACACGGCCACATACAACGTCCAGTGGGATGCAAACGTTGCTTTTACAGTTTTGAGATGCAGAAACGTCAAAGGTCACCAACTCAGTGTGAGCTGGACTGAACATTTGTGTCTCCAGTCTAACATCTTGGTGTCTTCAACACGTTGCTGACCGTCACAGGCCAGCATGACGCTTTTACAGAACAAAAAATGAGATTAAATAAATATTTGATCTTATCCTCCCCTTCTTTAAAGCAGATGGGAGGTTTACAGATGTGGAAACTGTGTGCCATCTCTGCTTTCTTGAAGACTGGGGGGGGGGGGGGGGGGGGGGAGTATAAACTTCTACAACAGCAGTTAAAGTCACTGTATATACATAATAAGACATGAACCTGCGTGTAAAGGCACGTTTTCCTCCCACACATCACATTACTCAGGTTTTCTTTCCTGTGGCAGCCGGACACTTTTTCATTTGGCGCTAATGCGTTTGCTGCACTTGTTCTGCTTCCATTCCCCTTCCTCTGTGCCTTCATCTCAAAAATGACTTATTTTATATTCCTAATTCAAGCGGTGCCACTTAGGATAATCACTTCTCCGAAACAGAGCGAATAGTCCCATGGATCCAAATGGTCTGTTTTCAAGAGTCAGACTGGAGCTCTATCTAGTGGATGAATTGTGTTTTACACTTTGCCCTCAGTTCCCTGAAATGGAAATCTGGATTTCAGGATAGCATAAAAGATAGATTATCCTTGGAGAGATAAAAGGTGGGAAACGTTACACCCTGATATCCATTTACTTTAGTCCTCTCCTTTAAATCCATCCTAGGTTCCTTTTTTTGATTCCCATTCCTGTAGAAAGACCAGAAGAGACAAAAATAAATGTCTGATCGGACAGAAATAAGATATATTCATAGCTTTTTCAGGTACAATGAAGAACTTTTTGTTGAGTTGTTGAATTTAAAATCAAATTAAAAAAATGCTGGTGACGCTTTTCAGTCATCCAGGTCATGGTAATCCTAAGCGGTTCAAATGAAGGCAGCTGGAGGCAAAGCTCCTCGGAAGAGAAGCAAAACATCTTCAAGAAACCAAAGAAGTCCAGTTGCCTTCATCTGAACCCTTTTGGATTAAAAGAAAAGAACTGATGAGGAATAGTTCAACAGCTAAAGACCAACCTTGGCTTTCTGCATCACGGTTCCAGCAGAGGAAGCATAAACAGACGGAGGTCTCCTCCTCAGCTCTGCAGCACAGTTCACCGGTAGAGACTCGCTGTAGATGTTCTGGCTCTTTTTGATGGACGTCTACAGAAAAATGAAAGTAAAACTTAGCAACTTCATTTTTCAAAAGTGCATTTTGACTGAAGGACCTATTGGAGCACACTTACCTTATGTGGTGGTTTAGCCTCCTTTGGTGCACCCGGCGCTGCCCCTGCACCTGCTTGGCTCTTCTTGACGTTTTCTTTGACCTGGGTCAGTCGGAGTTCCAGGTCCACCCTCTCTGCCTCTTTAGCCCGACAGGCCTCCTCCAGCTCGAACACGCGCTTGTTTAGGAAGGCCTTCCTCCTGTCTGCGTCACAACAAGAAGAACCATCACAGTTAGAAACAAGACAGGGGTCGTTGTGCTACGACGTCCTCAGCTGTAAAATATAATCAATGTTAATGCGAGCAATACAAAGTCATTTGTAGCTTCAACTTTTTGCCATTAGCAAATACTTTAGCATTATTTACATTTCAGAATAAAGTTTTTAACCTTTTTTAAAAGTTATGAAAAAAAGTAACTCTTAAGGGTTTATTGATGTTTTTGTGCTTCCCTCCCTGCAGCAGCACATGAGGTTCAGCTCCAGGAAATGAATTCACAAGACTTAGGAGACTTTATCATAACCATGCTTTAGGTTTCATTAATCCAACTTGTAGTTATTGCTTGTGGGGGCTTCCTTTCACACGATCTTCAGTAAAAGATCAGAAAACATAATCATTTGCAGCCTTGTTGGATTAACTGCATGTCTATTTTCTGTCCTTATTTGGTGAATTAAGATTATTTGAGCACAGTTGCCTACCTGAAGCCATCATCAGCTCCTCCTTCAGCTCTCTCTTCTCCTGTCGCAGCGTCACTAGTGCGCTCCGGATCCCATCCCTCACTTTCTCCAGCTCGTCCTTTTCTTTGAGGTAACGCTTAGCGTCTTCCTCTGCTCGTGTTTTCCCATACTTCCCGTACTGGTTGGCATCTGGATGGGAGCAAAGGTCAAAGGTCATACGTGCAAAGGTTGTGGGAAGAATACAAACACAGCATGATCTGTCTGAATCACGCTCCGATCCCACGATGAGTTCTAACAAAACCTCACCGTGGAACTGGATGCTCCTTCATGACTTAAGTAGAGACATTTCAAGATGCATGAAGAACACACATGCAGAGGAGGAGGTCAGAGGTGAGACAGCGCATCTAATGCAAATGTCCAATAAATCTCTGGTTCCATCCTAAAATTCTCAGCCCAGCTCTTTGAAGTGCTGAAACTCCACTTTTACAAACTCATCACATGAACTTAAACAAAATGACATAAATGAGGGGGGAAGAAGAAGAAGAAGAAGAAGAAGAAGAAGAAGAAGAAGAAGAAGAAGAAGAAGAAGAAGAAGAAGAAGAAGAAGAAGAAGAAGAAGAAGAAGAAGAAGAAGAAGAAGAAGAAGAAGAAGAAGAACGTTCTGGATATAAAGTGAGAAGATTAAACAGAATACCTCTCACAAAACTGTCTGCTTGACCCTTACCAATCTGGGTTCAAAAAGGGCCACTCCACTGAAACTGCTCTGCTAGCAGTGACGGAATCCTTGAAAGAAACTAGAGCGACAGGCAAATCCTCAGTGCTTATCCTGCTCGACTTATCGGCTGCATTTGACACTGTCAACCATGGCTTCCTTTTGTCCACACTCTCTAGCATGGGCATCACAGAGAAAGCACACAACTGGTTTGAATCGTACCTCACAGGACGATCATTCAGTGCTTGGACAATCCTCTACCATGCACCATCTTGCCACAGGAGTCCCTCAGGGCTCTGTACTAGGACCTCTTCTCTTTGCCATATACACCACCTCACTGGGTGAGATCATTCGATCACATGGCTTCTCCTACCACTGCTATGCAGACGACACCCAGCTCTATCTGTCGTTTCCACCGGACGACCACACTGTCTCTGCACGAATATAAAACTGTCTCTCTGACATATCAAAATGGATGAAATCCCACCATCTCCAACTCAACCTCTCTAAAACTGAACTACTTGTCATCCCAGCAAAACAATCCATACAGCACAATATCTCAATCCAAAATGACTTCCTATCTCTGGCTCCTTCAAAGGCAGTTCGAAATCTGGGTGTTGTGATTGATGAACACCTGACCTTTAAAGATCATGTTGCCTCTGTTGCTCGTTCATGCCGCTTTGCGCTGTATAACATACAAAAGATCAGACCATACCTAACACAACATGCCACCCAGTTCCTGGTGCAATCTACTATCATCTCCCGCCTCGATTACTGCAATGCCCTTCTAACTGGTATTCCAGGCTGTACTGTGAGACCTCTTCAAATGGTCCAAAATGCAGCGGCACGTCTGGTCTTCAATCAGCCAAAAAGAGCACACGTCACCCCTCTGTTCATTGAGCTCCACTGGCTACCACTAGCAGCACACATCAAATTCAAATTGCTAACACTAGCATACAAAGTCCGAGATGGTACGGCTCCCATCTACCTGAATCCTCTTGCAAAGGCTTACGTCTCGGCCCGGCCGCTGCGGTCATCACAGGATCGTCGGCTAGCAGTGCCTACACCACGATCAGGACAATCCAGACTCTTCTCATGCATCGTTCCACAAATGTGGAATGACCTACCAAGCACTACCAGAACAGGGGCTTCCTTTTCAATTTTCAAGAAACTCCTGAAGACCCTGCTCTTCAGAGAGCATCTTCTAAACTAGCACCCTCCCTGCACCCGTCCCCCCTCTCTACTGTCCACTCCTTGTTCCCTCCTCTCCATGATTGATGTCAAGTTGTTGTTGTTATTGTTGTTGATAGCCTCAAGGGCAACATGCCGATTATCACTTGTAAGTTGCTTTGGACAAAATTGTCTGCTAAATACATAAACATAATAGAAAAAGAAGAAATGGTGCAGCCAATGGGGGTGTCAGTGGGCTGGCTAGGATCTGAATGGAGTTGGTGGAATCTCTGAGTCCTCACTGGGATGAGACTACAGTAGACTCACAGTCAACATCTGTAATATTTCTAGTTCCCTTATGTGTTATTATATTTATGTTCTCTGAAATCACACAGATGGGAAGCGTGGGTGGGTCTAAAGCTGACAAAAACAGTGTGATAGTAACCAAACAGACAAAAGGAGCTCCTCTGGGATGAATATTAGGCCCCGCCCACATTGAACCATCTCATCCAGCTGTAAACCAATTCCTTATTTGATGCTGATGATGGCACAAATAAGGATGCAAATTTTGCTTTTAAAATAAGAAAAAATGTATGCAGTGGGGATCAAACCTGAGAGGATTTTCATCAGAATTGACTTTGTCATCCAATAAAGAATAAGGCGTGACGCAGAAAACACCACATACATGCTGCCTAAAGGAACATTTCGACTCATGCATCTTGGGACTCTACAACATTTGTATCAGCGGTAAATGTGGCCCTGAAGCACATGTTAGTGCTCTATGTCTTTAACAGCATCAGTATGTTCCACAAAAAGCCAACTGATGGTGTCTGCCCTCTGGTGGGGGACCTAAGTACTACAGTGGTAGGCGCTAATTCGTTTGTTGTTACTGTTATTATATAGTAGCTACGTAATAAAATCTAATTATTGGATGCAACAAATGGAGCAAATATTTTAGGCTTGAAAGTAAATACATATTTTCAATAATATAATTTATTTTCTATCATGTATTATTTTCTTTTGTTAGACCACATCTAATAAAATGATACCAACTATTTGCTGGCTCTGGGGAAAGGTCTGGAGACCAGCTGAAGGAACTTAACTTATGAAAATGTGGCCAGATCCATGATTAAAGTCTCTGAGTTGGGTTCACTTTTACTCTGTTTAGTTTGAAACAAAACATTCTCACTCCCAGTGCATCAAAAACAAACGCTTGGTCAGCCACCCTTAGTGTCAGACCCCTGACGCCAAAAGTGCCCTTTTTCATCACATATGTGCGAAAAGGGGTTTTTCCCTTTTCTGGCTGCAGATCCCAATGCAGCGTAAAACTGACGCGATGGGATGTCCGCTGATGCAGCACGAACCAGCTCATTTAACCGCACCTAAACCTTAACGTTTTACTATGTATAACCTTCCCCTCATCCTCATCCTAACCTTAACCCTCTTGCTACCTAAAACGTTACTCTCACTGTGATCAAGCGTCTGTTTCCCATGCATTCTGACTGTGAATTTTCGTATTTGTCGCCCAAGGGGAACGTTAGAACATACCATCTGGCGAGGGGGAGGTTACAAATACCCTCTACTTGTAACCTCCACCGTGGTAGTTGAAACCTCCCCCTCACGTTGCCTCGGTCCAAACTCGACCAATGACGAGGCGGCTCCCGCCGTTCACTTCATAGAGCTGGCTTTTAGAGCGATCGACACATCACTAACGTGTTAGCTAGCAAGATGGTTAAGGTTAGGATAGGGGTGAGGGGAAGGTTAAATAACAAGAGGATAAGGTTAAGGTGAGGTACAATGAGCTTGTTTGGTGCCCTGGCTGTGGACATCCCATTGCGTCAGTTTTACGCTGCATCGGGATCTGCAGTCAAATAAGGGAAAAACCCCTTTTCACACATAAGTGACAAAAAAGGGATCTTTTGGCGTCAGAGGTCTGACGTGGAGGGTGGCTGACCAAGCGTTTGTTTTTGACGCGCTGGGAGTGAGAATGTGTTGTTTAAAAAGACTAGTTGCCTCCCATCTTGGTACCTGTACATTGGGGTTTACCCCAGTGAATGAGAGTGTAGCCTCCCTCTGCCTACGTTTGTGAGGCCGGTTTCTGACTGTGGTCTGTGCTTTTGCACCAAACTACAGTTCAGACTACCCACCCTTTTTGGAGACCTTGGAGGGGTGCTGGAAAGCGCTCCTTCCGGTGACTCCCTCGTTCTGCTGGGGGACTTTAACGCTCAAGTGGGCAACGACAGTGAGACTGGAGAGGTGTGGCTGGGAGGAATGGCCCCCCGATCTGAATTTGAGTGGTGTTTCTTCTGTGCCAGTCATGGATTGTCCATAATGATCACCATGTTCAGACATAAAGGTGTCCATGTGTGCTCTTGGCACCAGGATACTTTAGGCCGCAGCTCGATGATCAACTTTGTTGTTGTTTCATCTGACCTGCGGCCGCATGTCTTGGACACTCGGGTGAAGAGCGGGGCGGAGCTGTCAACTGACCACTACCTGGTGGTGAGTTGGCTCAGATGGTGGGGGAGGATGCCGGTCAGACCAAGCAGGCTCAAACGTATCGCAAGTGTCTGATGGGAAGCCTAGTTTAATTGTTAGTAATAAAATTCTTCATTTTAAACTTGACTCTTTCTATTCTGTTGTCTCTGAGTGAATACATAACGGTTACATAATCTCTGCATTAAAAAGATCCGATCTTCTGGTTTAAATAACCCCCGATCCGTGAGGCGGATTTCATATTTCCTATGGAATCCCACCCCTTATGGTTCATTAAATAAAATGTAAGAACCTCTCATTTGTCCCTTACAATGGCAAGGCTCCAGGGGTGGATGAGATCCGCCCGGAGTTCCTTAAGGATCTGGATGTTGTGGGGCTGTGTTGGCTGACGCGGCTCTGCAATATTGCGTAGACATCGGGGGCAGTCCCACTGGACTGGCAGACCGGGGTGGTGGTCCCCTTATGTAAAAAGGGGGACTGCAGGATGTGTTCCAACAACAGGAGGATCACACTCCTGAGCCTTCCTGGTAAGGTCTATTCAGGGGTTCTGGAGAGGAGGGTCCGTCGGATTGTTGAACCTCAGATTCAGGAGGAGCAATGTGGTTTTCGTCCTGGCCGTGGAACACTGGACCAGCTCTATACCCTTAGGGGGATCCTGGAGGGTGCGTGGGAATTTGCCCAACCAGTCTACATGTGTTTTGTGGATTTGGAGAAGGTGTTTGACCGCTTCCCTCGGGGAGTCCTGTGGGGGGTACTCTGGGAGTATGGGGTACCAGGCCCTCTGATATGGCCTGTTAGGTCCCTGTATGACCGGTGTCAGAGCTTGGTCCGCATTGCTGGCAGTAAGTCGGGCTAGTTCCCAGTGAGAGTTGGACTCCGCCAAGGCTGCCCTTTGTCACCGATTCTGTTCATAACCTTTATGGACAGGATTTCTAGGGGCAGCCAAGGTGTGGAGGGCATCCGTTTTGGTGGCCTGAGGATCAGGTCTCTGCGTTTTGAAGATGATGTGGTCCTGTTGGTTTCATCAGAACGTGATCTTCAGCTTTCACTGGAGCGGTTCGCAGCCGAGTGTGAAGCAGCTGGGATGAGAATCAGCTTCTCTAAATCTGAGACCATGGTCTTGATTCGGAAAAGGGTAGAATGTCTTCTCCGGGTCAGGGATGAGGTCCTGCCCCAAGTGGAGGAGTTTAAGTATCTCGGGGTCTTGTTCACGAGTGAGGGAAAACTGGAGCGTAAGATTGATAGGCGGATTGGTGCTGCATCTGCAGTGATGCGGGCGTTGTACCGGTCTGTTGTGGTGAAGAGAGAGCTTAGCCAGAAGGCGAAGCTCACGATTTACCGGTCGATCTACGTTCCTACCCTCACCTATGGTCATGAGCTTTGGGTAGTGACCGAACGAATGAGATCGTGGATACAAGCGACCGAAATGAGTTTTCTTCGAAGAGTGGCTGGACTCCCCCTTACAGATAGGGTGAGAAGCTCGGCCATTTGGGAAGGGCTCGGAGTAGACCCGCTGCTCCTCCACATCGAGAGGAGCCAGCTGAGGTGGCTCGGGCATCTGGTCAGGATGCCTCCTGGACGCCTCCCTGGTGAGGTTTTCCAGGCACGTCCAACCAGGAGGAGACCTAAAGGTAGACCCAGGACACGGTGGAGGGACTATGTCTCTCACCTGGCCAGGTAACGTCTTGGGATTCCCCCGGAGGAGCTGGCCCAAGTGGCTGGGGAGAGGGAAGTCTGGGCCTCTCGCCTTAGGCTACTGCCCCCGTGACCCGACTCTGGATAAGCGGATGAAGATGGATGGATGGATGGATGAATGAATGGATGGATAGTTAAAAAAAATAAATCTTACCAAACAGGAAGTAGAGCTCTGTGCCTCTCACCTTCCTGCAGACTGTGGTTTTAATCATGACTAGTTACGTAAAAGCAGATCAGAACACTTTATAAAGCTGTCTATTTGAGAGCGGTTTTCAGCTGACTTTATGAATAAGGTTTTAAACTCTATTTATAAACATTGTCAGCTCTTAAACACAGCAGTGTTTATAGATCCTGGTCCTGAGTAAACCGCTCAGTCATCAATAAAAGAGTTCATAGGCAACAACTGCGGTTCAAAGCATCTTTTCGGAGGATTCCGGATGTTTCCGCGTGTATTCTTAAACAACCTGTCCTTTTTTCATTAGATTTTAATGAGTGAGTGAGTGATGTTCATCTGTGTAGACAGAGGTCTCGCTTTATTGGTTAAAGTCACAAAACCAGCTGAAGGCACTTACTGGAGCCGCTCCGCTTGAGCGAAACTAAAGGCTTGGTTTTGTCCAATTCTCTGTTTGAGAAACTCGAGCGTCGTTTGCCTTGATTCCCAGGATGCTGCTTGCAGTTTTCTCTTGACTGGGTGGAGTGGAGATGAGATGGGGGTGGGGGGGTACATGTGGGAGAATAAAGGCAGAACGGGACCAATAAGCAGAATTTTAAGATTAGATTATTAATCTGGTACGAAAAACAAACTTTTGTTTGCTTTGGCACCAACTGATGAAAGATTTGTTTTTCTTGTCATTGGACTGTGTGTGTGTGTGTGTGTGTGTGTGTGTGTGTGTGTGTGTGTGTACCTCTAATCTGATCATGTCACAGTTTAAGCATCACACAAATGCTTCAACTAAACATGTAACTACATGCGTGCCTCTTGGCGTGTGCGTCCCACCTGTGCCTCCTCGTCAGGAACCTCGTCGTACGTTCTGGAGTCTGTGGAGGTACTGCTGGAGGAGGTGGCCCACCTAGGAGAGGAGGAGGAAAACCAGTCTGTGTGAGGTCAGATCGTCTTTGCCTGCCGCCGACCTCATCCGAACATTCTCGTTTCACTCACAGGAAGGAATTCCGTGCGGCATCACGAATGTTAGCTATGGTGTCCACGTCGACGTAGTCGTAATGCAGCGACTCGGGGTCTGCGGCCGAGCCCGTTTCTGCCAGAAGGACTCCGAGCCAGCGTCCCAGCTCCTCTGAGCTTCTCGCCTAGCAGAAAACAAGACTGTTGAAAGTCTTCTAATTTTCCTAACTCATTTAAAACAATAATTAGTCATTCCTTTAGGGCTGAGATTTAGCTAAAAACCTAAATACAACAATAATAAGAGCCTGCTTTCTCCCCACAAAGGCTCAGTATTTGCTTATCTTTCAACTTTGGTTCGGGCTCCACCTACCCCTTGGAAAAACATCTAGCTCAAAGGTTGATTATTGTTCTACGGGCTTATTTCAATTCTTCAGAGCGTTTTAAGTAACACCATCTGTCTGCTGCTGGCCAGGATGAAGTCAATGAGAAACAATGAGACTGAGAATTTCTTTTGTTAAATGTTTTTTACTGCAAGTCAGGTCACGACCCTCAGTGTCCCTGGGTGTTGCTGTGATGTGAGAATGAAACGAGTCAGAGCAGCTCCGGATTTTACCTCAAGAGCAGCCACCTCTGTGCTGCTCCGGAGAATCCTGAAGGCAAATGGATGTTTGGGCCCAAGTCCGGGGACCACCTCGCAGCCGTGCAGAGGAAGGGAGGGCAGGGAGGTCCGAGGGTCTCCCCTGTCGTGGTAGAAGTGCATGGAGCCTCTGGACACACAGCACCACTGTTCCCGCCACACCTGGTTCACCAGCACCGACAGGTAGCCTGCAGGCAGGGAGGAAGAGAGAGAGTGTGTGTCTGCAAACTTCAGCGAGACTGAGGACGGGTTTGGTTGAAGCAGATGGTTACCTTGCCGGGGGTCGGGGTATGTTGAGCGGGGGTCACCAGACCGAGGGGGTTTCTTCTTAGAGAAGCTAATGATGCGAGTGATTTTACGGCCAGCAGCGAAGGCTCCGCGTTTCACCTTAGCTAAATAAAAAGTACACGAGTAATCCTGAAGTTTCTGCAGACATTCAGACAGATTTTCATCTTTCTAAACTTCCCTCTGCATTTTATACCACGCATGAAAACAACACAAACCTTTCTTTCTTTTGTTTTGGGCTCAGGCAGTCAGGTAGAGACACTAAAAAGCACATTCTGACAGTGACAGTGCAGCTGAAATAGTTAACATATTTAGTTGTGCAGCTTTCTCACCGTTCTCTTTGCTGTTCTCTCCCGCCGACACACCCACACTGTCCGAATCCGAGGTGTTCCGGTCTGCAGATAACCTCTGCAATAGAACAAGACCATCACAGGTTTGGACTTTCACCAGCAGACGTTTAAACTTGTCTGCACTTGACCAAAGAATTTCAATATAAACAAAAGTAAAGACTAAAAACTGCTTCGTTGTTTGGTTTTAGACCCTGTTTCGCCTCCTCCTTCCGAATCGACCCCCTGTGTGTTTCTGCGTTCGTTTTTGCAGTTTATGTTGGGAAACTCCTCGGTAATCTTCAGAGGATGTCTGATTACTGACTCGCTGCCGGACCTGTTATTGTTGCCTCAACACCTAATTACATAACTCATCTCCTCTTCCTTCTGCGGAAACAAGCAGGCAACCGGCTGCTTTGTGTCGAGCCGACGAACTGCTCAGAAAAATTTATGGTGACAACACAATAGTTACTTGGATGAAACTTTCCTCACCTGAGCTGAGAAATTACACCTCTGCAACAAAACAAAGATGACAGATGAGCATCTTCTCAACTCCACTTACTTTGTCGAGCTCGTTTTTTCTGAGAACAGCAGGCGACGTGGCTTCCTCCTGCCCTGTACTTTGACCGCTCACCTCCCTGACGACCTGCAGGGACATTTAACAACGGCGGAGTCAAACCTCCCTCCAGTGATGAGAACATGGAGGATCATTGTCTTTTCCAGAATAAGGTGGTATTTACCTTCAGCCACTTGTGGGCCTGCTCCTTGCTTTGCACTGCTAGCACTAAAGCATCTCCATTGGTTAACGTGAACCTCAGCTCATGGTGCTTCCTCTTGCTGTCTTTAGGGACATAAACCACCGTGCACTGGGGCAACAGGAGGTCCACGTAAGGAGATGCGTCCTTTGAACTCTTGTAGCACTGAAAAAAGGACAAGAAGCTTAAAAGATGCAAGTTAAAGGAGATAAATGATGCGAGGGGAGACAATCTCACCTGTAGTCGATTCTCTCGTATGACCGTGAGCTGTTTGGCCCACTGGCCAAAGCGTTTCTTACGCAGCAGGAAGGCGCATAGCCGACAGTCCCTGGCAGGAGGCATGGAGCTCTCATCCGACGGCCACTGATGGGTGAGTCGGACCCCGGGGCTCCGCTCCTCTTCCTCCTCCTCGTAGGACTCGTAGGAGCTGCTCAGCGCGTCGGAGTCGTTGTCTGATGCAACAAGAAGCACAAGGAGAGAGGATTTATGAATGAAGTTAAGAGGTGTGAAATAAAGACAATGGTGCTGGGCTCACAGGAGTTTTTACGATGTGAGTTCATGCAGGTTGTTGGGTAGGGGCTCTCTGCATCTTCATAGCCCTCTATGGAGTTGGGAGGACTGGGCCGGACTGGAAAAAGGACAAGTCCTAGTTTTACCCCCTTTGAAACAAACTTCCGTGTGTTTATATTTAGACACGAAGGTCACAGAGTTCAGCTAACCTCGGGCGATTATGTACTCTGGCATCTTCCCAGGACCGAGCGGCACTGCCTCCTCATAGTACTCCTCAGGAGGAGGCGTTGTGGGCAGGGGGGGAGGGGAGTCTGCAACGCTCTGCAAAGGCGGAACACATAAACACAAACAAACGCTCAGATTTATCCCCATCTTTTTTCAAAGCCAGAGCGGCAGAATGTAAACTTAAATGATTTCCATAAATTAGGCACACGGGTGGATCTGAAAGTCCTGGATTTTCCATGCAGTCAGAAAGATGAGCGTGTAGGAAAACCCCACATCCACGGAATAGGATGTTTTTCATTGCCCCGTCTCCGAGTCAAGAGGTAATGTTCATCTGTTGAATCAGCGGTGAGACTAGAGCTGGACAAACAGCTCTCACACGTCTTCCTCCAAAATTAAAGCTACTAAAACTACAAAAGATCAGAAGCAGAATGAAATGTGCTTTTTTATATCCCAATCACCTGTTTAAAAGAGTCTGTTTGTGTGTCCTTGTCCTCTTTCAGGTCATCTGTGACGTCCTTTAGGTCTCCGAGCTCACAGTCTGGGAAACAGGTTTTTAAATGTTTGACACACAAAAAGCATCTCAGACATGTTTAATCAATCATCGGATTAATCAGACATGTTTAATCAATCATCGGATTAATCACAAACCTACCAAACTTCTCAAACAGAGACTCCACGAAGCTCGTCCCATTTCTGTACACCGATGAGTTCACATAGATGTAGTCCGGTCGGGTCTCTGGAGGACATTAAATACGATCAGTGAACACTCCTCTCAGCACTCATCGTTAATCTTACTAACATCATCTACTGGACACATTCTGTCCGAAAGATAGGAACAGAACTTGTTGAAAGATTGTTTCTATCAGGACCATTTTAGACGTGACACACTCTATCCCTGATCACTTTAGCTTGTGTCTAACATAAATAACTTATGTTACACGTGCTTAACGATAACTTCACTGCAATTTGATGATTTATATTAAATTCTCCTCAACTGATGGATGGTGATTTTAGCATTAGCACATGTTAGCATGAGGCTGCTAATGCTAATTAGCTGTTGTCTAAAAATAGAACTACCTATGTTGTTTTGTAGTAGGAAGGACTTTTTACATCATCCACTATGAAACCTGAATCAAAAATTTTCTTTAATCCTCTGAAACCTACATGTGGAGTTTAACTGCACTGTTATTTATAATAATAATAATAATAATAATAATAATAATAATAATAATAATTATTATTATTATTATTATTATTATTATTATTATTAATTTATTATTATTATTATTTAATTTTTTTAACTTTTGATCTGATATTATTAAGAGAAACTTACTTCAAAGTAAAAAAAATAATTATTTTAATTAGGAAAACAATTAGAACACCTTTTCAAGCAGGTTCATTTGTATGGATTTATTTCTCAGAATAACATTTGTTTTGTTTTTGTCGAGACCAGAAGGGTTAATGGAAATATTATTTCACATTTTTATAAATGTTACCCCAAAAATGAGCCTGTAACCTAAGTAGTACCAAATAAGATGCTATAAAACAGATGCATTCTGTCTTAATGTAAACAGCTGTCTGGCTTATAATTCACAAAAGAGGCGACGTGTCTGTGAAAAGACATTTGTTCGACTGCGTTCACACAGAAGGCAGACTCTGACCTCACAGAGTTTATTTATTTTTGAAAAAAGATCTGTCTTTTGGTCTGTTTTTTTACTTTTGGATTTACTGGTTTCTGTTTGGAAGCAGCATCCTAATCAAAGCCCCCCCCCCCCCCCCCCCCCAAATGTTTTTAATTTTGTAATAATTCTGCTGGGTTTAATGAACATACACTTTTTGGGAAAAGTAGAATAAAATAATCAGCATTTGAATGCAACTTAAAAATCTTAAACCATTTAATTTCTAACCGTTCAGAGCTTTCACAGGTTTTGTGCATTTTATGCTGTTTAAACTCTCTCCTAATCCAGATTAAATACACATCTAACATGTAAATAAACCTCCCAGTGCTTTATCTGACTGATCTATTCCCTCAACTCATGTGTGTTTACTTCTCTGACCTGACGGCTGGATCTGCTGCAGGAGGTTCTTCACTGAGGCCTTCTTCTCTTGGGTAGAGGAACTGAGGTCCTCTTGGTCCAACATCTTCAGCAACACACCCAGCTCACTCACCAGCACCTCCATGGCTACATGGAGAAGGACACCAACAGGTCACGAATGGTAAGGTTTAGTTTACGAGCAGAGAGAGTAACGGTCAGACGGACAAGTCTAAATGCATCCCAGGTGTGCGTCTGAGAGATTCTTGTGTCTATCTTAACTTACCAGTCTTCATCTAATCACCTCTACTCAGCAGCAGCGGTTAAACACTTACAGGAGGCTTCAGCAACCTGCTAACTGGTTATCAGCTCAAAATGTGAACAAAGGTTTTACTTCATTTAAGGTTCTGTGGGAAATTCATAATCAATATCTCATACATCGATTTTGGAACAACCTCAGAAGATTAGTTTGGACCAAACAAACCAAAAGTAGGTAAGGCTTATTGTTAATCAAATTGGTCATTTTAAAATAAATTCAGACTCTGCACAATAAAAAATACAAAACTGATTACAGTTTTGTTCGATTGCTAAAACGCGTTTTTCAAAACTGCACACACACAAAACCCCAAACATTACACACAAATTCCTAAACCGTGGCTTCCCTTTGCAACAAAACCCTGCCATCACATATCGTAACATGTTCCCAAAATGGAACACGTGTTTTCATTTGGTAAACACAGCCACATTTTCACATGACACACACATACCCTTCATTTCTTAAACACAAGTAGCCTTTGGGTAAACACTACCAAGCATGGAAAGAACACTGAAGAGCAAAACTGAAAACACAATTGTCTAAATGGAGCACAATGAATTACACACTGAATGTATGACAGTGCCCAGTTTTTTCTGAGACAAACATCAGACATCACACACATTTTGAGACAAAACATTTTATTTTTACAGTTAACCCCCCCCCCCCCCCCCACCTTCAAAATTTCAGACAAAACATTTTATTTTTAAACCCACACCCCCTCTCCCATTCAAGCATATGCAGAGTTGTTTTGAGACCACAGATTGGATGACTGTCTGCCAAGGATATGAAGAGGACATCAATGCCATGACTGGATGTGTCACTGACTATATGAACTTCTGTGTGGACAATATCATACCCACCAGAACAGTGAATCCCTGGATCACCAGTGAACTGAAGAATCTGCTGAATGAGAAAAAAAGAGCCTTCAAGGAGGGAGACAGCAACTGAAGATCAAGATCAGAGACAGCAAGGAGGTATACAGGAAGAAGCTAGAGAACAAACTACAGAGGAACAAACTACAGAGGAACAATATCAGAGATGTCTGGTCAGGGATGAAGAAGATCACAGGCTTCAAGCAGAGGAAGGATTGCACAGATGGCAGCCAGGACACAGCCAATGAACTGAACAAGTTCTTCAAAAGGCTCAGTTCAGGAACAAACCCAGCATCCTCCTCACCTGTCCCCAGCCAATCAGACATCTCATCCTCCTCTGATCCAACATTTTCCTGTCACACGCCAGCTCTTTTGTCCTCTACGCAGTCATGGACTCTTCTGGTTCAATAACACTAGAAGTCCTGAGAATTTCAACATCCCCCCTGAAGTCCTGAATCAGGGTCAAAAGACCCTTTGTCCACACTGATGACTCTGATGGCTCCAATTGTCATCCCTTCATTTGTAAATGTGGCCATTGCCAGAGGAATCAGCAGGGGGAGGAGACACAAAAGCCACATGATGTTGTGCTACATTATCCAGGTCATTTTGCCAAATGTGAGAGGACTAGAAACATAAAACATGAGCCCCCTTCAGACAGGCCATGAAAAACGGAAATGTTCCGGACTCTGTCCGTAAGACGTTTGTGTCTGAATACAAACATCCGGATAACATGTTCCGGAATTTAACCGGACGAAGCCCCTAGTAACAGGTCCGGACTTGTTACGGACAAGGTGGCTGCTTCAGACTAGTGAGGTAGAGTTCCGGACAAGGGGGATGGGGAGGGGACCGGGGGATGCTGTGCGCACCTAGATAGCCCGCTGCTGTAGCATGCGGCGAACCATGGCAGCTCGCCTCCTATTGTACTGCCTAGACGCGTGACGGAGCGCTTCACACCGCTTCAGTGATTCCTTTAACCATTGAGCTTCATGATCCAGGTCTCTCATGCATCTTCGTGTGCGCAGAATTATGCTTAAGCGCCTCGTGATTTTTATCCTGAGAGGCGCTATAGAAATGATATTTTCTTCTTCTTCTTCTTAACATAGGTCCGATCCCCCCCCCCCCCCCCCCCCCCCCCCCCCCCGCCGCCGCCAGACATCTGGAACTTTTCCCTGCTGTGCGGATGCAGCCGAAAGGACAAGTTCCGGTACAAAAGTGGTGTGTCTGAAAACACAGTTCCGGTTAAAAACCGGATTGAATTGTCCACAAATGTTCCAGAATGTCTATCTGAAAAGGGCTATGAAAACACGAGAGAAGTTTTCCCTTTTGAAAAATGAGTGACCTGTTTTGGTAGAGATATGACATTTTGCTGCTGTTCCATGGTGCTTCGCTAAACCATATAGAGGATTTTGCCAATGAATTTTGAGAATGTCATCTCAGTTTCGAGAAATGAGCCAAACTAATTGAAAAAAAAAAACTGTAAATCAACTTAAACTTGTTCAAAAGTTGGGGATAAGTTGGTTCAAAATGACTGAGTGTAAGCTGCTCCTGAGAGTGTCTGCCTATCCCCCAGCTGCATTTTTTGCAGGGCCATCCTGAGCAACAGCTACAGAAATTTGCATGCAGCCTTTTGTGCTGTGGAGGATTAATAGATGACTTAAAGTTGTTTATCTTGCAGATGAGGAGACTCCCAACCATAAAAGAGAGCATGGTTGGGGAGTGAGCTGACAGAGACCTCAAAAGATGGCACTGTGTGGTGTGAAAAACAAGTGGGGACATGTCTCCATACCACTCCAATTGAACCTTATGCCACAGCTGGAGAGCCAACGGCTAAGGCCAAACGATGTATCCGGAGTCGCCTTCAGAGCTTCCTCTGTTGTATCACTCTTGACATGCTTTGAATCATTCAAGAATGGACTACTCATCATGCACGTCACACGGGACAGGTGGATTGGTTCTTGGATCTCCCTGAACTAATGGCATTTATTGCAGTCATTATCTTGCGGGGGTTTACCAAGGTTTCATCACTACGTGACAGCTGGTCAGCAAACCTGGCAAACCCAAGGATCATTGCAACTATGCCCCGAAACCGCTTCCAAGACATCATGCAATACTTACACTTTGATGACATGTTCAAATTTTGGGTGGCTTGCGACTTGAAATCAAAGTACATCTGCAATGTCCTCCCATCACTATAGAAATTATATTTTCTTCTTCTTCTTCTTCCATATCTTGGCAAGGACCCTAGTCGTCCCAGCAGGGAGAGACTGTCTGAGTGTAGTGATGAGGCTAATGGAACCATTCATGGACAAGGGCAGAGCTGTAACCACGGACAATTTCTTTACACCACTGTCACTTGCACAACGACTGCTTAGCCGGAAAACCACTATCCTCGGCACAGTCAACAAAAGTTGCCGGGAAATTCCTCAATCTGCTAGACAGATGGACCGCACTGAATTCACCACTCAGGTGTTTTCAACCACTGGTGCCACACTGACAGTGTATGCGCCCAAACGGAAGAAGGCTGTATACGTTCTCAGCAGCTTGCACAGCAAGGTTGAGACTGAAGATACCACAAAAAGGAAGCCAAACACGGTCACGCAATATAACAGCACAAAGTGCGGTGTGGATGTGATGGACCAAAAGGTGCGGGAGTACAGCGTGCGTGCAGGAACACGGAGATGGCCAGTCACCGTGTTCTACAACATGATTGACATGGCAGCACTGAATGCACATGTGCTTTATCAGGCATGCATTGGGGTGCAGGAGAGATGGGTGGACTTCCTGGTTGAGCTTGCAAAAGAGTTGGGTGACGGTCATGTGAGTAAGAAGAACGCACGCAAGGAGAAACTGCTTCGGTAAAAACCTTCCACACCCAGTCCTGGCAAAAGGGCAAAGTGTCAGGTCAACCATCGTTTCACAATGTGTTGACTGCTATAAATATA